AGGATGAGTTAGAGGGCAAAGTTGAAGGTGGAAATTCCCCTACTAAAGCCTTCTTTTTATATTATCTAGTTGCTAGCATGACAAAACCAGGCATTGAAGAAAATTGTTTTGCCTTCTTTCTCGTTCTTGATTAGTTAATTCAAGGACCAATGAAAGTTTTTCACTACATCCTGCTTTATTTTTACCTTTATCTATTCGCTGGACATGTAACCGTCAACTTCCCATCAACGATATCAATACGATACGATGAAAGTGATCCGTTATACGTGGCGAATCGGTCATTATTATATTGTATAGAAATATAATATATTTCCAATAATATATTGTATGGTAATACAATATATTTCCAACACGGGTGGCTATTTATTAATTAGTCGACTTTCTTCTCTTATCCTGAAGTTCAAATTTTCCTATTTTGTACGCCTGCAATTTTACATTTAAAACCTATTTTCTGTTCGATCATTGGTTCTCTATAAAAGTTGTGTCACAGCTTAAAAAGTATTTGAATGTCACCAGTTATCCCTTCTAAGCAATCAGAAAATAAATAAATCCTTCTAACCAATACGAAAACAGAAAAAAAATATTTCTAACCAATCAACAATCAAATTTATCAAAATCTTTTCCGTAACGAATCCCAATTTTATGGATTAGAGCTCCCCTCGTCGGGCAATTTACATTTGCAGCTTTAGAGTCAAGTTTGGTTAATATTTATTGTGAAGGGGAGTTACAAATACTCTGCTCGACCAAGTAGGAGTTCGGTAGACAATTCTGATATTTGAGGAGTTGCGCAAAGGATTTTTGAGCAATTTGAACACATTTTAACAAGTTAATCTTTTAAGTTATAACCATTTGCACATAGAAATAAACTCATGGGATACTTCAGACTTTTGCCTTGTGCCTGAAAATTCCTCACCCTATCGTGGAGCAATAACTATAAGGTGGACATGTAAATCATTACTGCAATAAACGGTTCGGTTTTCACTATATGTGATTCATTCTTTCTTTTAGTTTCGTGACATAATGAAGCAAGCCAAGTAAATATCGATTATACCGTGATCAGTTGCAATCACATTACATGAGTAAATACGCATGAAACAGTGTAGTTTCAATTTGGCAGTCACTGAGTTACCGTCATCTGCTACCTTGAATCCAGGCAACAGTGCTGTAATGTTCGTCTATATTTGCCCCGAATTTGCTTACTGCTTTCTGACATCAAATCTTGGAATTACGTGTTTTTTTTTTTCTTTTTGCTAAATCTGATTCCGTTCGCGTTTTGGGAACGAAGTGGCGAAGAATACAATAAAAGAGTCGATTATTTCCAGGATTTTCATTTTTTTCTCTCTCTCTCTGTTATGTTTGTTTAGATAATTTTTTTCATCTCTCTTTTTCGTCTCGATGCCTTGCTTTTACTTCTTTTATTTTCTCTTCATGTGTTTTATATCGTCATTGTATCTCATCATCTTCGCCTCTTCTCTTTCCCTTTCATCTTTTTCTCTTCTGTTTTATTTTATCGTCTTCTCTTTTTCTTTATCTTCCTTTTCTCCCCAGATACGGTTTAAATAATAGGACTTGTATCTTGAAAACAAATTATTCTTACAATATCAAATATGTTTTCAGTTTTAAATAGTCAATGAAGGGTTGATAAGCCGTAAAAAACAACTAAATCAATTTCCTTTCATTTATCTTCTTTCTTTCTCCCTTTCTTTTCTCCTCCATTCTCTACTCTTCCATTCCTCTTCTCCTTCCCTTGCTTTCCTCCTACATTTTCCCCCTTTCCTTTTCCCCTCCATCTCCTCCCCTTCCCTTCCCTTTCTCTTACATTCTCTCCCCTTCTTTCCCTCTTTATCTCTTCCTCTTCCTTTCCTTCTTCATCCCTTTCTTTCCTCCTTCATCTCTTTCCTTCCTTTCCTTCTCCACTCTCTCCCCTTTCATTCCTCCCTCATCTCCTCCCCTATATTTCCTCTTTCATCTCTTCCCCTTCATTTCTTCCTCCATTCTCTCCCCTTCATTTCCTCCTTTATCCTTTCACCTATTTTTCTCCTTTCTTTCTATTTCTTTTTTCTTCCCCCATCCCCAAATCATTCATTCTTTGTCTGTCTTCCTCACTGTTTTTTTTTGCCTTTCAACCCCAACCCCGCTTCTATCAAAGATCCACTTTCTTCTTCTTCTTCTTCTTCTTCTTCTTCTTCTTCTTCTTCTTCTTCTTCTTCTTCTCTCGGGCGTTTTACTTTTTTTCTAATCTTTTTTCTTTTGTTTATAACTGTCTGTTTCAGGGCAAGTGCTTCGGCGTTGGGTAATGGTTAACGAGCAACTCTGCTTGATCCTTGCTATGGAGTTTGGTGGTCAATTTCCCCCAACAGTCAGTGAGGACAAACCGATATAATTTTTTTTGCTTTTGTGACATCGTTCCTCACTGTGGATTATTTTCTCTTTTTCCACCACCACCATCGACACCACCACCACCATCACCACCACCACCACCACCACCACCACCATCACCACCACCACCATCACCACCATCACCACCACCACCACCATCACCACCATCACCACCACCACCACCATCACCACCACCACCACCACCATCACCACCATCACCATCACCACCACCACCATTTGCATAACATCTCTTCCTCCTTCTTCTCCTCATCCTGTTAGTCTGACGATTATTTTATCTTTCTATCAAATAATTTTACCAGCAACGACGATTCTAGCATAATCATCGATTCTTCAACTGCTACTATACTTTGTCTTCATATCTTCTTGGCGTATGTTGTCATGGTCATCCACAGCTTCCATATTCGTTAATATATGGGAATACCCATGAATTTGTTGGGTTGCTAATTATATATGTTGAGCTCTCTAGGTAGTATATGGCCATCGGAAATGGACAATCCCCCAAGCATTTATAATTGCAAAATGAAAGCGGCTTGGGAAAAGTCATAGTATGTAACTTTTTTTATTGTCTTGATAGAGAATGTTCTGACAATGTATAGAAATTGATTAAATGCCTTCTCTCCGACCCTGAAAAAGAAAACTAACGGATGCTGCAAAAGGCTGTATTTATTCCAAAAGGCACGTCAAGTTACAAATAGCTACGTCTATCCACGCAGGAATACATCTCATACCAGCTTATAATCGCTCTGTAAAATAGGGACTCCATTGACTGACCGTTAGGGGTCACATGATTGGCTAAGGATGGTGCATACTAGTTGGGGGAAGAAGAAGGAAAGTTACCTCGGCAGCTTTTTAGGGACGATATTTATACCATCAATAATATCTCCTTAATACTCTCCTTCTTTTGCCTCTTAGCCTTTATTTCTTCGATATAATTAGGGTTCATAAAGTTGCATATCCCCACCAGCCATCTTCAGGGGTTGAAGGTATTCGATGTACGACATTATTCTCCGATATTGTAAAGACGTTCCTTTAAAAGCACGAATAGAATTTCTCAAAAAGCGGTAAGGTTCGCTTTACTCACACGCGGTTAACCAAGGGAAGAATATCATTAGTTATTATCAACCCACAGTGAAGGATGTGATACAAGGCCAATTTAAAATGGGGGACGTGTGCCTGGGTAAGGGTAAGTATTTTTCGACCCCCCCCCTAACTTACGTTGCCCTGGCGTCGTATTTCACCGACCGACTTTAGTGCAATGAGGACGTTATTGTCACAGTGTTGGAATCCTCAGGGACGGACATCCCTCATTTATATTTTTGCTCTCTGTCCAAGTTGAGAGATAAAAATACAGTTACCAACCCAAACTACAACTAGCTTACTACTAACCTACTACATAAACCTTAGCATTTTTTAATGCATTCGACTCGAGACGCGACGTTTACGATTGGCTGGGAGTGAAACCGGTTTGTGAGTTCACTTATCCTCAATTCTGGCCAGGTTCAGTGGAGAGGTTTAGTCTACAATACGGGAGTACTTTGGCCGGCCAGGTATGTCGTCATTTCCTTCTGTACATGTTCTTAGCTCATATGATGTTTTAGAGCCATTTTAATCTTGCTAATAATAATAAGTAAAATTTATTTATTCATTTTTCAGAAAAGTATTTCTCAGACAATCACATGTTATTCTTTCAGCTAGTTTCCTTCTTTGTTCTAACGTCCCAAAATATAAAAAAGAAAGCTCTTAATTCATCAGGACAAATTCAGGCCTTGCATATATCATTAGTTTGAACTGACCCAACCAGTCCATTACCCTTAGCAACCATTCATGTCTATTTTCATGCTAGTTTTTTTGTCAGCTCTATGTATTAATTTAATATACAATGGACTCATCTCGCTTTCACTTCACATACAAACTCTTGTATGCTACTTCTCCCAGAGATAAAGCAACAACTCATGACGTGTACTTAAGTCACAGGACCAATTAAATTGAAGTGTTATTATTCAGCCACATTATCACTTGAGCATAACATCTCATAAATCATCTAAAATCATATTTCTGAATACAATGTATACAAAGTCAGTTTTCGATCGATCTACAAAAATGAGGAAAGGAGTAATTTTATAAATGTTGTAATTAACGTTTTTTGCTGCTGAAAGTGATAATGTTGCTTCCTTGTGGTGTAGTGCATTAGTAATGTGCATTCAGTTTGACTCGAGTTCACTGTACTAGGATATTGGTTTTGGAGATGAGTCTGTTGGACGTCCTTATAAGTAAACTCGTATATTTATTTACTGCATTTACTTTCGACCAACTCTTCGCTATAATAGTGCGACACACAGTGAGAAGCAAACTTACAACGTTAATGAAATGTTTGTGAAAAAAAAGAAAATGCTAAGCATCACGTTGTGTTAGGTGTTTAAGTTATTTGGTTATTCTCTTGCGTACGAAGGCATGAAATCACAATCTTGACGGGGATTTAGTTGCGCCAGGAAACAGGTTTGGCGGATTCGATTTTTCTCTTCCGTCTTTGATTCCATCTTTTGTCTTTTTTTTTTTTAATTTCTCGCTCTGCTGCTCATTTCCGATTTGAAGATTAGTACATGTTACAAGAAGACTCTCTCTCTTCCCCCTCTTTCTCACTCTCTATCTCTCTCCCTCCCTGTCACTATCTCTCCTTCTCTCCCTCGTCCTCTCTCTCCATCCCTGCCTCTCTCTCTATCTCTGTCCATCCCCTCTCTCCATCTACCTCTCTCGCCATCTCTCAATCACTCTCTCCTTCTCCCTTCCTCGCAATCTCTCTATTGCTCTCTCCTTCTCCCTCCCTCTATCTCCCTTTTTATCTCACCTTCCCTCCCCGTTTACACCCCTCTCTCTCCCTCCATCAATCGCTCTCTTCTCCTCCGTCCCACTCTTCCGTTTTCTCTCCCTCCCTCCCTTGCTCAGTCTCCCTCCCTATCGCTATCCCTTTCTCACTCACCTTCTCTCTCCCTTTCCCTGCCTCTCTCACTATTTATCTCTCTCCGTCTCCTCTCTCCCTCGCCATCTCTCTATCAAAAAAAAATCTCCCGTTTTATCTCTCCTTCCCTATCTCTCCCTGTCCTTCCCTTATCCCTTCTCTCTCTCCCTCACCTTCTCTATCTATTAATCTCTCTCCCTCACCTGTCTTTCCCCTCACCTGTCATTCCCCTCACCTCCCTCTCTCTATATCGCTCTCACTCTCCCTCCCCCTCTTCCTTTCTCGCTCATCTATCTATTATTTTTCTGTTTAGCTTTCCTTTTCTGTATTATTGTATCATTTCTATTCGAATGATTCCTTCACATTTTTTCTCTTTTCTTTTTCCTTTCATTCATAGTCTCTTCCTTTTCTTCGTCAACTCACTCCTCCCTCCCTCTGGCATTCAGTATTCTCATTCCTTTTCTTCTTTTTTCTGATTCCTCTCTGTATGCGCCTTAATGAAATTCTCTCTACAACTCCCCCTCTCTCTCTCTTTCTCTCTCTCTCTCTTTCTCTCTCTCTCTCTCTCTCTCTCTCTCTGTTGTCAGTTTTCTGCAACATTCGAAAAATAAGACAGAAATGAGTTAATCCCCAACTCAGGATTTCCGCTTCTTTTCTTACCCGTAAATACCAATATGATTACCCAGCTTTGTTCGACGTCATATTTACGAGATAAGCGTCAATCAGATCTCGTCTGAATGAGATTTGAAGCAATTCACACTCGACATTACGCCAGAAAGATCCTAAAACACACACACATACATACACACACTCATATACTCCCATACTCACAGACACATAATTTATATATATATATATATATATATATATATATATATTCAAACAGGTTTGGTTAAATAATTTAGATTAGTTTTCGTTTCAATTTCACGGATTCATTTTTTGTAAACGTAGAAAATTGATTAAGAAAAATACCAACATTTTCTTTCAAATAGTTTTTATTTTCCCAAGTACTTTCATTCTTATCTGAGACCGTCTTCAAGTAGTTAAGTTGTCTTGAGTATGTATATGTGTTTCTGTGAATTTAAAACATTTCAACTGTTCTCTTTTTTACTGCTTATGCAGCATGCTAGATTTCAAATTTCACAGTTCATGTGTACTTTTGTTTGTTTTTTTCAGTGTAAGTGGAGTAACTATTTTGTTTCTGTCAAATGTCCTTAATTACACAGCGGCCCTTTCAGTAAATGCCCTTCAGTTTTCGTTTCCCCCGCCCCATCTCACTCCCCAAACCCTTTTTCTTTTCTTTTCCTCTCCCTCCCGCCCTCTTCTTCTGATCTTTAAGATTAGATCGTCTATTGTGTGTGTATGTCACCACAAAATGTATCCTTTCCGGTTACATCTTTAATGTATTAGACATCCGACAACATTCATATTTCTCTCACTTAAACCGTCTTCAACTCACCTCTCTAAAACTTCTCTCTGTTAAGTTTTAATCTCCCACTTTCTCTTGTCTGTTACCCCTCTCTTTAGCTCTAACATTCGGCCCACACTCTCATACTTACCCTTTCTCTAAATTCTATTTTTTATTTCCGGAGTTGTTTTTTTCTGTTTTCTTTTTGAATTTGTAGGTCTGATGAATTGGATCGTATTTACGATTCCAATGGAATCAATTATGACCATGGAATATTAGTGTTTAAGCCTTTTTATTATATCCTTACTCTGTCCTGGACATTGAGTTCTACCTAGATTCTATCCTCTTGGAATTTTTTATTCAAAAAATATACATGTATGTGTATGCACCTATGTATATATATTTATATATTTTGCATATGTATGTGTATATTTACCACTATATATATATATATATATATATATATATATATATATATATATATATATATATATATATATATATAATATATATATATATATAAATGTATATTTGTGCAGCAAACTTTCTTTTATATATCTTTCGTTAAATTGACGGACAAGAAAAATTTTGTCAATTTATTAATTAAGAACGATAAAAATATTCAATAAAAATTAATAATTTTTTTGCCTGTCAGTCATATTTAACGATTATATGAGCGAGAGTGAGGTATAGTTTTGTTAATATAGATTTCATCCGAGAATAATATACGCTATTGAATGTTTGCCATTTTCTTTCTTTAGTTCGCAATGAATTGGTTGATGCCAAAAACGATATCCTTTCATCATTCAGATAAATACGCGTCTTATTCAAAATTAGGAGATGCTTATGTCAGAAAAGGCGTCTTTTTTTCTGCCATCACTAATTTTACTGGTTGTTGACCAAATCTTTCAGTGTCAATTTTTATTGTGATCAATCAAAAATACACAAATAATTTAAATTTACATACATACAAATATCTATCTATCTATCTATCTATCTATCTATCTATCTATCTATCTATCTATTAAAAGTCTTTTCATATATATCGATAGATCTCTCTCTCTCTCTCTCTCTCTCTATCTATCTATCTATCTATCTATCTATCTATCTATCTATCTAACTGTCTATCTATATCACTCTGTTGATGTATATCTATCTATCTATCTATCTATCTATCTATCTTTATCTATCTATTAGTGTTTTTCATATATATCGATAGATCTATCGCTCTATCTATCTATCTATGTGATTTTCTTTCTTTCTTTTTCTTTCTTTCTTTCTTTCTTTCTTTCTTCCTTTCTTTCTTTCTTTCTTTCTCAGTCACTTCTTATCTATCTATTTCTATTTTTCATATCCCTCTCTCTCTCTCTCTATATATATATATATATATATATATATATATATATATATATATATATATATATATTAGAGACTTGATATCTTTCTATTAGAGACTTTTCATATTCATCTATCTATATACCTGTGTATCTGGCTGTCTATCTGTCTATCTCTTAGAGTCTTTTCATATCTATCTATCTCAGTCTCTTCTTATCTATCTATCTATCTATCTATCTATCTATCTATCTATCTATCTTAATTTATTTATATCTACCTATGTGTGTGTGTGTGTTTTTGGGTATAGGTAAATTTATATTTCAATGATTTACAGGTTTATAAAATCAATTATTATTTTTGAAAGCCCTTAGTTTTTGTTCTATGTTTTTTTTTCACCCTACTGAACACGATTTTCCTGTGTTCCTAACATATGGCAGCTGTATAGTTTATTTTTTCAGAAGGGAAATAACTCTTCCTCTTTTACAGTATTTCCTGCGATTTCGTATTTTTCTTTTATTTGGATCTAAGATCTGTTTTTTCTTTATGTATTTGATATTGGCGTCTGCTGAATTGATTTCCGCCTCTATATTTTATGCATTTACTTTTACGTTTGTCAAAACGTTTTGCTGCTATTTTCGTAAAATCATTATAGTATTAGCAATCATTTTTTCTCTTACAGGTCAGACTGTTCTCGTCCGAATCGCTTCCTTTCAGTGTCAGATTGGATTGGACATTTGATCGTATTATCAAATGACATCGATCACGTGGCCTAAATTCTACAAAAACAATTCAGCAGATTAGCACATCTGTTCTGACTAAGAAACTCGTATCTCTCGAAAGGATTTTGATAGAAACGCAAATAGTAAATATGAATAAAATATTTTCTTCATTATATTGATCGGAATAAAAGTGTTTTCTATTCAAAGAAGATTCGATAAAATGATGTTCGGTTATTCAACATTTGTTTCAAGAACTTTTAACTATTAAATTGTAATTACTTATCTTTATCGTTCTTCTTCTTCTTATTATTATTATTATTATTATTATTATTATTATTCCTTCTCGTTTACTGTTGCTTTGAATAATTCGTCATTGCTTGGGAATTGTTTTGTTTTTTTCGTTCAATTTTTTTTCTTTCTAAGAAATGGGGGTGTTCAGTTTTGTTCATTTTGGCAGTTAGCAACCAATTATTGCTTGCATCACTGAATTTCGACACGATAATTTTCTTCTTTCCCGCCAAATTTAGTGATCTTGTTTTTTTCTTGAACTTTTTAAGAACTCACATTTTATTCCTCAATTTGTCATGAGTTTCCACAACAATTCTGATGAGTGGTCGATACATTTGCTTCTTTTTTTATTGATTTTCGCTTTCAATTCTAAACTTAAATGCTTCCTTTTTCCTTCAGTATTCAAGATTCATACTTTAATAATATTTCTTACTCTAATAATAACAATAATAGTAATACAATAATAATAATTATTATTATTATTACTATTATTATTATTATATGAATTTTCACTACAGTAAAATTTGGTGACGTTCACTGGGAAACCAATGTCACCTTCTCTTCTCTTCTCAGTACTTCAGTACTGTCTTCATTATTATTATTACTGTTATTATTATTATTATTATTATTATTATTATTTTATTTAATTTCTGATGTATACTCATTTCTTTCCACGTTTAATTTTTATTTTAGATCATGTACAAGCATAAAACTCTTCGTAAAGTTTTGTACTTTCCATTCCCATTTTTGTATTTCTTTTAAAGGGGGGCTACCGGGAAAAAAAAAGTCTATCGAAACATTTTCCAAACCCGAGGGCTCCAACTTTTAGATGTCCTCATGTGTCATATTTTTTGAGATTTCTTTAAAGCAAGGCTACCGGGAATCCCTTCAATTCTATCGAAAATTTTCCAATCAACCTGAGGGCTGTAACCACAACTGGAATTCTTGATGTCCAATTGTCATATTTTGAGATTTCTTTAAAAAAAGGGGCTACCGGGAATCCCTTCAATGAGTCTATCGAAACATTTTCCAATCAACCCGAGGGCTCCAACTACAACTGGAATTCTTGATGTCCTCATGTGTCATATTTTTGAGATTTCTTTAAAGCAGGGGCTACCGGGAATCCCTTCAATGAGTCTATCGAAACATTTTCCAATCAACCCGAGGGCTCCAACTACAACTGGAATTCTTGATGTCCTCATGTGTCATATTTTTGAGATTTCAACTTTAAGATCCTTGTATTGCAATAGTTTTTTGAAGTTGTTGTTGTTGTTGTTATTATTATTAACATTATTGTTATTATTATAGGGACCGTAAAAATATCGGGATTATTTATTTGTCAATTAATACGTCAGCCTCTGACTTGGATCAAAATTTCACGACTCGTTCGTCTTTCTCAGATCAAAATGTGGTATCTGTGCTTTTTTTCTGAAAATGTTACCCTCACTATATACAGTGTTTGTCAAAATCAACAAAAAATCCTGCATGTTTAATTAAAATTAGGTATGATAAATAAAAAGCATAATTATGACAAATTTATATAAAATGATTTGAATCTAACAAAATCTTTTAAAAATTATTGAAGTTAAACACAAATAGTCAAATAACAAAATTTTAGTAAGGTCAAAATTATCGGTACGGTTACTATTCTCAATTTAAGACATAAAGATGCAGATATTTATGAAAATGTTATTAATATATGAGATTATTTAGATAATAATACTCGATTTTAGAATAAACCTTTTAATTGTGTTCTAATATATTATGGCACTAATTACACAAAAAGATATCACTCATTCCTAATTATTAATCAATGATCTAAAATTCTGCTTCATGAAATATCTCGGTTACTTGCTGTCAAGATGAAACCACAGAAACTCATTGAGTCGGGATCCACCATATTACTTGGGATGAGTAATGGATTCTTTAGGACAATCGTATACAATCACCTCAATGGATTGATGATGACGAAGCATCGAAAGACTAGCTAGTGCATCACTGCAGAATTTTACTGCTTGCAACTGGATGAAATGCACATTCAGGTAGCAAAATGCATTTGTCACTGATTAATTGATGAGGTACAATTCTGCTTCATGAAAATTCTCGGACGCATGTTGTCAGTATGACACTGTAGAAGCTCACTTGCTTGAGATACGGGACTTTACCACATACACACAATCATCTTCTACTGATATCTGTTGCCCAAATACTAACACCTTTTCAAGCATCTTGATAATTTTGAAACCAAAAGATATTCCTTTGAAAAGAAGATATAGAACTTCAATCAAAGATTACTTGACGTCCAAACCTTTAGAATTTTATCATAAAGGCATAAATAAACTTGTAATTCGATGGCGGAAATATATAGTTGTTCAGAGTTCCTATTTGACTGAATTAAAGACTGTTTAAATAGATTAATTCATGAAAAAAATTATTTCTAAAATACTACATTACTTTTCGAACAGTCTAATAAAACTCCTAGACTGTTGACTTTTTTTATTTTATATTTTGATATTTTTTATTCTCATTTTTAATTTTTTTTTACTATAAATCATAGTTCTGTTATTATGCATCGAGCACTATTTAATTCATTTTAATTTATTTTATTTTGTTAAACTTTATTTTAATCTATTTTATTTTGTTAAACTTCGAAACCTGCTGCGGAGCACATTTTCTTTAATAGGTTTTCTCGAGTTCACAGTTGAAAAAAAAACCCCCAAAAACAGACCGTCTATTTTGTTATATATCACCTAAAGAACATTTGAAATCTTGATTCTTATGTTTTATGAAGCGTAATTTGTTTGTGTGAAATTCATCGAATCGGAAAATAACATAAAAAGATCAAAGAAATCTGTTGTTTCCAATTTAATTAAAATTAATAAGCATTTCTCATTCAATCTGATTCAATTCCGAGCCGTTATCCATCACACCACCGAACTTCCACGGTGCAATGTATAGCAACTCGGATACAGTCCCAATACAATAGAGACATTTACATACACATTTTATACATTGAATATAGCAAATATTATGGGATAGAAGTAGTATTTAATACTGGCACCTGTCCCATAATGATTGATACATTTACATACACATTTTATACATAAAATGTAAGAACGATTATGGGACAGAACAAGAATAATATCCATGAGTCATTTATGACAATTACCAACAATAAATGAGCCGAAGAGATAATGTTGGCTTAAAAAACAAATATCAAAGTTGATTCACACCGATATAGATTCCAGAAAAAATGTGCGTTCCTTAAATAGATAATGGAGACACGCTTGATCATGAGTGCCTTGCGTTTTATAATTAACAAAAACAAACTTTTGACATAGGAGCTGTTTTCATTTAGAAAAACTGTAATAAAGTTTCGATTCCTATCGGGAGGCACATTTTTCTTTAGTAGGACTTCTCAGTCTAGATTGTTTGATATTATTTTCTCTATTTAAGAAAAATAAATATATATATCAGGTCTCACAAAAATAACGTTTACGTATTTATTTGAAAGAAAAATAAAAATAAATTTCTTTTGGCTTTTACCAAAGTGACCAATTGAATTTCTTGTTTAAAATAATTTAAAATCAAACGAAGCAAAAGCGGGTAAAGAAAAATAAATGATTCCATTACATATTTTTGTCAAAGAATGTCCTTTTAATTTTTATTAAGAGGAAGCAGAAAAGGTTTTGGTGATTCTTCTTGGAAATATGTTCATTAATCTCGAAATGATAATTTTTTTCGTATGTCAACGCCAAATGCAACTCAGTAACATCTTGACATTCTGCATAAAAAAGACAGGGACAGGTGCACTTGAAGGATAAATGACATTATTCTTTTACACAATCAAACAGCCCACGCATTTTTGCGCCTGCTTCTTTTACTTACCTAATCTATCTACCCAGCTATTGATCTTCAGAAAATTGTCACCTGCCCAAATGCATCTTCATATCTGCCTGATTTATGTTAGAGTTACTTTCTTTTATTATATCGACGACTATTTTTCAAAGAGGTAAACTTTAAAATATATAAGTATTTATTTCTGAAATATATATATGTGTGTGTGTGTTCAGGTATGTATGTATATATATATATATATATATATATATATAGATAGATAGATAGATAGATAGATAGATAGAGATGATTATATATATATATATACACACACACACACACACACACACATATATATATATATATATATATATATATAAAGATTTTCCAAGCGAACTCGCTTTTCAGTAATAATTGA